AGCTCATTTCGGCCCAAATTTCAGCAAGTCTTTCTACACTCTTCTAAACACTCTTCATGCATCTCTAGAACTTGTAATCAATCAAATTTAATGTTTTTTTTTTTGGTGGAAAAAGGGGAAAGTCCCCTTTATATTATTAAGAAAAACAAAAACAAAAATTACACTCTAACAATGCGTGGGCACGCAGACCCGTTAGCATCCTCAAATAAAATTGAAATAACATTTTCTGGGCTAGAATCAAACATATGGAATCCCAGCGGTAAAGAGAAAGCATAGTTCGCTAATCCATCTGCTAGACGATTAGCCTCCCTATACACGTGTGAAATACGGACTATCCAGTCCTTTGATAAGAAGCCATAGCACAAACGTACTAGGAACGACAACGGATGAGAATCTTCAATCCCTGTCTTTAGGAAACCGACCACCACTGCCGAGTCTACCTCCAACTCTAGACGAGTAAACCCTTTCTCCCATGCTGTATAAAGACCATAGTAGACACCCCATAACTCTGCTAACTGCGCCGTACAAATCCCAATGTTAAAAGAGAATCCGCCACACCAATTACCCTCCTCATCTCGCAAAACTCCTCCCGCTGTTGCCAACCCGGGGTTTCCATGAGATGCTCCATCCGTGTTCACTTTTACCCAACCACTTGTGGGTGGTGTCCACGCAATCATCCTCTCCTCCCTTACCAGTCGACTAGGCCGCTCTCTCAGGCGGGCATGACCATCCGAGACTTCCTTTGAAATATCTTTAAGAAAACGCACACGATCTCGGCATTTACTATCAACTCCGAAGACATCCCAACAACGCCACTTCCATCCCCACCAAAGTACCATAGCAAAGGTCGTCGCCCAAGGAGAGTTATTAATCTCCCTAGTGGCACTCAGATTACTATAAAGCCATTCAAACAAGGACGTAGCAAAAAATGCTCGAAGCTTCCGCTGTGGAACCAACCTTTTCCAAACACCCGAAATACCTGGACAATCCCTAAGAGTGTGTAAAAGTGTCTCCTCACCGCCCTTACAAATCTGACAAATACTCGAAACACTCAAATGTCGACGATGTCTCTCCATGTTGGTCATAATAACTTGGTGACTCACTAACCAAAGGAAAACTCGAGCCCTCTCAGGAGCTACAACTCTCCAAAGCTTATCATAAAATACTCCCATATTCGGCTTAGCTGTTACGTCTCTTGATAAGTAAGAATAAGTGGACCGCACCGAGAACTTCCCGTCTGAATTACCCCCCCATGAGAGTCTGTCTCTTATCCCCGTCACTGTATCAACCACCATTGAGTGGAGCTTAAGCTGCATATTCTCCGATAGAAACGGACCAATAACTGGAAAGTCCCAACCTAAGTCGTTCCGCCATAAATCCCTGACCTTGACTTCTTCATAATTTACCGGCAGGTCCGCAAGTACCAACTCACAAAGAGGCGAGTTGTTTAACCAACAATCTGACCAAAACCTGATATTCCGACCATCACCAAGGACCCAACTAGATCCGGGAATCACTACATCTCGTAATCCGGTACATATGCTACGCCAAGTCGATGACCAACGACCCTTTACCACGAGCCAAGAACCATCCCGGATGTCACCAACCTTGTACTTACTCCGAAGGACCCCAGACCAAAGGCTAGAGTGATCGTGCATTAAACGCCACCCAACCTTTGCCAGCAAAGCTTTATTCATACGCTGAGTGGAACGGATTCCCAGCCCCCCCTCTGACTTCGATAAACACACTCGATCCCAGGCTAAGAGGTGTTGCTTTCTCTTCTCTTCCGTGCTACCCCACAAAAAGGACCGTGACATGCGATCCAAACTGTCCAAAGTAGATTGCGGCAAAGCGATTGTTGTCATTGTGTGAATCGGTATAGAACACAAAACCGATTTAGTCAGAGTTATCCTACCAGCCAAACTCAGAAAACGCCCTCTCCATCCAGCCAAACGGGCACCAACACGCTGCACAACCTCCCCAAAGGTATCCTTGTTTATGCGTTTATGAAGAACTGGCATTCCCAAATATTTTCCCAAATCCTTTGTAGCTTTAATCCCGCTTTCATCACTAATCGCCTTTGCGAGATCTCGGTGCACATTGTCCGAAAAGAATATCTTCGACTTTTCTAAACTCACCTTCTGTCCCGACGCCACACAAAACCACTCCAATACTTTACGAATCACCCGTACTTGATCTACCGACGCTTCTGCGAACAAGATGAGATCATCCGCAAAACAGATATGTGAGAGCTTCGGACCACCCCGAGAAAGGCAAATCGGTTTCCAGTCCTTCGAAGCAATCGAAAACACAATCAAATGACACAACCGTTCCAAGCATAAGACAAATAGATATGGGGAGAGGGGATCTCCTTGTCTAAGTCCTCTCGCCGGTTTAAACGGGTCAGTTTTCTCACCATTCCAAAGCACGGTCATCGACGGGCCAGTCACACACTTCATAATCCAATTCCGCCAAGAACCTGGTAGACCCGCAGCCATGAGAGTATCTTCTAGAAAATCCCATCGAATTCGATCATAAGCCTTCTCAAGATCCAGTTTCAACAGCATCCATCCCTTTCGACCTTTCTTCCGTCTCATAGAATGAACAGCCTCTTGAACAACCAAGACGTTATCCGTACTCAACCGCCCCGGGATAAAACTTGATTGAGCTGGTCCAATAAGCTTGGTCATGACCTGCTTAAGTCTCAAGACCATAGCCTTAGTAATAGTTTTAAACAAAACATTACATAAACTAATCGGTCGAAATTGCATTATTGTCTCCGGCTTCACAACCTTAGCAAGTAAGACTACAAGCACATCATTCGTTCCTTCGGGTAAGTTACTCGTCTCGAAAAAATCCAAAACAAACCGCGTAGTCGACATCCCCACCACATCCCAACAGTCATGATAAAAAATTGGTTGATATCCATCCGGGCCTGGTGCCTTAAATTTCCCCATACTACGCACTGATTCCTCTATTTCCTCTGCCGTGAAATCCTTATTCAAATAATTCCTTTCTACATCTGTTAGCCCAGTAAAACCCAACTGTGGCAACCCAGCAACAACTTCGTCCACATCAGTCATAGAGTATAATCGTCAATAGTAATCTGTCGCTAAAGTCTCCAATTCTTGTGTAGAAGAGATCCACAAACCCTCATCATTTTTTAGACTCTCAATCCGGTTACGGCGCCGACGTATGATTGTCGAAGTATGAAAATACTTTGTATTACGGTCCCCTTCAACTACCCACTTCTCCCGTGACTTCTGGAACCAGATTAATTCTTCTTGTTCAAGTACCATTTCAAGCTCTCGGATCAAACCTTCCTCCTTGACCAGCAAGTCATCCGTCTGGCCACTATCCAACAAATCTTGGACCAACTTAATCTCCTCCGTCAATTTCTCCTTACGTTTATTCACATCCCCAAATACTTCCCGGTTCCATTTCTTTAGCCTTATTCTTAACCCATTCAAAGCTGCAGGGGTACTCAATTGATTGTTCCAAGAGTGAGTAAGAAGTTCCTTAAACCCCTCATGGTGTAACCAAGCAGCCTCAAATCTAAAAGGTCGTCTTCCCGGATTCCCTTTACTCACAGGACACAGTTGTAAGTATAATGGAGCGTGATCCGATGCTAACACGGGTAGGTGAGTCACAGTTGCCTCTTGCCATTTTATTCTTGCGTGTGGACAACAAAGAATCCGGTCTAACCTTTTAGCAACATAAGTGCTCTCTAGCTTACCCCTTCTCCAAGTAAAGCGACTTCCTTTGAACCCCATATCAATCAAGGTAAGATCGTTAATCCATTCACCAAAGGCCAATGAGTCTGGGGACAAGCGTCCATTTCCACCAGTCCGCTCATCAAGCCGTAAAATCGTGTTAAAGTCTCCACCAACGATCAAAGGACCTTCCAACCCTGTAATTACTGATTGCAAACTCCCCCAAAGTCCACTTCTTCGAGTTACTGTGGGTGCGGCATATACTACAATCAAATGGAGCTTCTCCGCGTTGTTCTCGACCGTAGCATAAATAAACTGCTCCGACGAACTTACTACTGAGACCACCCCTACTGTGGACCTCCACAACAACCAAATACCACCACTCTGACCCTCGGCATCAATTCTAAACGAATTATCAAAACCCAAGTTCTGACATATTCGCCGTGCTTTATCCCCTCCGGCGTGTGTTTCAAACAGCGCAAGAATGTCGACATTAAATTTCTTTAAAATATATCGAATTGATCTTCGAAAGTTGGGTTTATTCGCCCCCCGGCAATTCCAGAATAGACAATCCATTAATTCTTTGCAAAAATTCCACTGAATCACCGGGGCAAACCGTCAAGCCACCGACATCTCCTCTCCCGGTACCGACGGGTCAATCGAAGAACCGGGTACTCTGGTTTGTGTAAGCACAACCATCTCCATCGACGAATTATCAGCAGCGTTTGTAGCATCATAATTTGATAAACCATGTTGTACCTGTCCTTCTTTGTCTGGTGTAAACACTCCCCCTGGTCGACCAACAAAACCTTCATCTACTCGTAACCTTTTGCCCGACGCCACCATCTCTCCTTCTTGTTGTAACGGGCCAAACACTAAACCCCGTACAGGCCTGGTGTTCTTGTACTGCTTGGGCCTTACCCCATTAAGCTCATTAGGCTTAAGCCCCCCTACTCGTTTATTTTTGAAGGATACCTTCTGGCCATTCTTTCCTTTATCAAACCCTCCTACTGATACCATGGCTTGCGAAACACCCTTCCCATTACTCCCGCCTTGCGAAATATCCTCATTCTCCTTATTCTCCTCACTCAAAATCACAACTTCCCTTAATCCCGATGCAATCGTATCGTCCACCAAATTCCCGAATCTGTTTGATATTTCCACTCTTTCCTTGTTTACATTTCCCGAAATCTCGCGAAGATAACGTTCCGGTTTCCCCCCAGCTGCAAACACTACCTTCTCCACCGTCGGTGAACTTTTCCGGTTGTGACGTCGTACCTCCGTAAACCCATCCTGTCTCTGGCCGGTCTCAGAAGGTGTATGCGGTGCAACGGACGTCGGCTTCTCCACTACTTTCTCTAGCACACGTCGGGGACAATTATGCACTAAGTGACCATACACACCACAGCCCGAACATATGTTTGATAACCCCTCATAGGCTACATAGTATCGATCCCCATTAATCATCACTGAGCCCTTAACCGGTTTTGAAAGATTTATCTCCACACATACTCTAGCAAACCTTGCCCGCTCAAAATTCAACGTCGTGACATCAACTTTTATCGGTTTTCCCAATCCACTTGCTATTCCGAGCAAAATATCTTGATGGTAGAAGAACACTGGGAGGTTCGACAATCTAACCCAAACTGGTGTCGTGACTATATCATCTCGTAAAGGATTAAAATCCGACGACCAAGCTTGGACCATAAGATGACTCCCAAAAACTCTCCAAGGTCCGCCCGTCAAAGCTGCAAGATATTCTTCCTCCCTCTCGAACCGGATCATAAAGAATTGTCGAGGAAGATCCACCACAGACATCTCCCCTGTAGGTTTCCACAACTCCTTTAGCTTTCTACTTAACGCCGACAGAACAATACTCCTACCCAACACCTTAACAATAATGCACTGCTTCCATAAACCCTTCATCACATCCAACACTTCAGACCCTATCGTGATGAACGGCTCACCATCCTCCCCATCTGGAAAATCCAACCGTAGCCTCTCCGACACAAAAGCTTTATCCATCAACGTCTCCGGTGTAACTCGCCCCCCTACTCCTCTACCAGTAACCTTGCTCACCCACGAACCAACCTTATCGGGAGGACGTCCTTTATCTCCTGCTTCCATCATGGTAGCGTCCTGTTCACCGAGATTCGTAACCCTAATATCGCCGCCGCTCATCAAATTTTAATGTACTTTACCCTATTATAACCCCAAAGAACACTAAACAAGCCATTTAGTGGTTCAACGCAATGTTTCCGAATTCTTAGGCCATTTGGGACCAAATTTCAACAAGTCCTTCTCCAAACTTCTAAACACTCTTCATGATGCTCTAGCACTTGTAATCAATCAAAAATTATTGTATTCTAACATATTATAACCCCAAAAAACAGTATAGAAGCCATTTAATGCTTGAAAGTAATGGTTGTGGGTTCTTAACCCATTTCGGCCCAAATTTCAGCAAGTCTTTCTACACACTTCTAAACACTCTTCATGCATCTCTAGAACTTGTAATCAATCAAAC